AAGAGGATCAGAGTGGGAGGAAGAAATTTGGACATTCTGGATGACTGGGGGGGTAGGGGGGTGGTTCTGTTTGTTGTTTTTTTTTTGTTTTTTTTTTACCAATAACTTTTGATAAATAAATGAGTCAAGCCAATCTAACTATTGCAGTTGTTATTGCTGTGGCTGATGACATCGCAGACATCACAGAGTTCTAAGTTCCTATTGAGCACCTCTAGAGACACGTGAGCAAATGCAAAATGGAATCCTGGCCTGGCCAGCTGGGTTTTGTATAGTCCGAATCCATGAAAAATTGGAGAGCAAACAGTAGTCAACCTTTCTGATTTTCATGGTAAAATGTCAGTTTTTCTATTTGCTCCTGAAGCATGTGACTCTTTTCCAACAGCTACATAACAATTTGGTTCTTGTCTTGAAGCTCAAACTGACTATTATCCAGCATCTGTCAAAAAGAGATTGATGCACATGATATTTCCAAAAGTTTGTGTACTAAGGGATATACTAGAATGTCTAAGTTCTATTTGTGCTTTAAGTTTGGACTATAAGAATACACACACCCTCAGGGGAATACTTTTCATAGCAACAACCAATGTATGCCAAACTCCTATTACACCTCTAGCTGATGGACAGGAAATGTTAAAAAAAAAAAAAAATCCATATGGAAAATGTTTCTCCGTCTTGTGCAAAGCCAGGCATTTGGTACCCAAATTCAACGCAAGAAAACAGAATTCCCCCCTAGAGATTCCAGAAACCAACACAGCCCTCCTGACACTTTGATTTTAGCCCAGTGAGACCCATGTCAGATTTCTCATCTCCAAACTATAAAGTAATAAATCTGCACTGTTTGCAGCTGCTATTGGTAGTAATTTGTTACAGCAGCCATAGAAAACTAATATAGTAATACACTAATAAACTGTACAGTAATACAGTAATAAACTAATAAACTAATACAGTAAGGTAAGTCGGAAGTACCATGGCACATTCAGGAGGAGAGTACCAAAGGGAGATGGGATATTCTGCTCCAGAATGTGTTTTTTTAAAGATAGATATCAGCTTCCCGACCACTTGCCTTTTTCATATGCAAGCTGTGCCTCTTCGAGACTTGGTTTTACCGTTAGGATTGTACATTGTGCTGGACAACAGGGGAAACTGTGGTTGGGTGACTCAGGCTGTTAAACAACTAGAAAAGTGTAAGAATGTGCTAGTCTGCAGCAAG